TATGTAAAACATCATTTGCTGGTACTCTAACTGATTCTCCAAATGATCCTTCACCAGGGTGCTCTCGAAAAAGGTAATACGCTTCTCTCTGCCCAAGTCTATTGAACTCAATCCCGTTTCTAATTACATTACCGTTGGCAAGGGTTTGATTGCTCTTATTGTCTAAATGCTCTGATTCAAGTACTTGCAGTTGCAACGGTACACAAAGACCATCTTCTCGTTTTCTTGTTCGGAGTCTTACAAAACATTCTCCTCCTTCTATCATGCTTCTACATACTAGAGCTTGTAATCCATAAAAATCACTTACTCCGCTACTGTCTGCTTCATCTGTCCATCTCAGCCATAATTCTTGAACTCTTTTCCGAAACTCTGCATCCTTTGCTTTTGATTGCGGCTTTATTCCTGTCCCAACAGAGTTACTTACTATCGTATCAATGATGTTTGCCGCATACGAGTTCTTTCTTACCATGTCACGTGACCGACTACGCAGGTGCTCTAAGCTTTGAGACAGCAAATTATTTATACTTCCTGACTCTCCTTGCCAATACATCACTCTTCTTCCTGATCCTGCAGCGTCCCAGGCTGAGCTCTTGATTTTTGGCTTGTGGAATAATTGCTTAAAAGTTTTTAACATTCTGACAACCAAAAATTCTTTAATTCTTCTATTGTTCCGTTGAATTTATTTCTGTCACATGGACCTACTCCCTCTACTGAATATGGCTTCTTTCCGTTTTTTCCGTCAGTGTATTGCCATAGAGTCCAGTTTCTCCATCCTATTGGTAATGTCGGCTTTATTCCCCATTTCGCTAACTACAGTGGACATTCAGTTAAAGTTGGCGTTGCAAAATCCTTGAGAAAATACGCACTTCCATAGATCAATGGAAAACGTCCTGTTTCTTCATGAACTTTAGCAACAAAATCTTCCGCTTGTTCTGGCGTTATGTTTTTTCCATTTCGGTTTTCTTCAATATCAAGGGCTAGCAATACTTGAGAGTTATCTCCAACCGTTTCTAAAAAATGCTCAGCTTGGCCTTTTCCGTTTTCTCCCACTCCAAAATGATACGCACCCCAGAGATGCCCTTCTTCTTCAGCGACTTTTCTTCTTTCTGCATATTTAGGATCCACATACTCTAGTCCTTGCGTTGCTTTATGGATAACTCCCAATATCCCGTCTTCTTTTGCTAACTTAAAATCTACACTTTGGTCCCAGTGTGACAGATCTACTACTTCTCTATTTTGAATATTAGCAATACAACCCTTAATACGATCTTTTAATTGCTCTAAAAATTCTGGATATCCACTTTCTACCATATAACTTCTCATACAATCCCCTTATCCGTTGAAATAATAATTTTCCGTTTAGGTTTCACACCTGCTACTTTTAGCTCAGCTTTAATGCGTTG